GGTTCAAGTCTACGAGTTGACACAGGTACTGTACACAGGTAAGGTGGGGACTAGGGATCGAGCCCTGGGATCTGCATCGGCTACTGCGAACTGGTGAATACCGTTTCATCATCCTTCTCCAGCACATCAAGGCGGGCGTGGAGGCTCTTGAGAGTCTTCTCGTACTTGGTGATGGTACGTGCCTGCCGAGCCAGCTCCACTTGTTGCCAGTTACAAGTGAGGACGACTTGGTGCATCATGCTGGCGACAGCTGACTTAGTCTGGTCCTCCGTAGTTGGTTCCGTAGTTTCCGCCCGATGAACATGCCATGCTTGGAGTGCGGCGGTATGAGCGGCTTCCTGCTGCATGAGGACAGACGCGGCATCTCTTCGAGCTTTCTTGTGGTTGGCAGCTGCGTCAGCTTGCTGCCGGAGTCGTTGCTCTTCTGCGTGTGCAATGGCATTAAGGCGTGCGGCTTCGGCTGCCGCCTCGCATTGCTGCTCCTCTTGGACTTGCTGCATATATGTGCTCAGGCGGGCCAGGAAGGCCGTCATGGTCTCTCCTTGCTGCCGGACTGGTGCAGCGTCGAGGGGTCCCATAGAAGTCGCAGTGGAACCCTCCTGCTGGGCCTGTNCGTCATGGTCTCTCCTTGCTGCCGGACTGGTGCAGCGTCGAGGGGTCCCATAGAAGTCGCAGTGGAACCCTCCTGCTGGGCCTGTGGGGCCGGGGGGTTCGAGCTGCACGCCTCCCCTGGACTGCCGGATGCGGCATTGTCCACCGTGGGGTTGCCCTGGGTGTCCATTTCAGAGGGGTGGGGCCGAGGTAGCTGCTGTTCTGCTGCGGCTGCCCGCCCTTCTCGTGCTGCGATGCGGTTGCTGCATCGGAGCATAAGCTGCAGTTAGCTGTACTGTGTTGATGACGCGGTACTGCTGACGTGGCCCTGCTGCTGACGTGGCACTGTTGTCGTGGCGCTGCTGATGTGGCACTGCTATTGACGTGGTACTTGCCAAGCTGGAAAACAGACACGGGGGGTGGGTGGGCGGGAAACACAGATAAACAACCAAACTGCAATGTGCTTGCCGGCCCTAATCAACAGAATAACAAAAAATCAAAAAAATAAAAGAAGTGGCTCACCCCCTTTTTTTTTTTTTTTTTTTTTTTGTGTATCTGTCGATCTGTTATCAGTGAGGCATTTTGCGGGCAATGCTATGAGTGAGATCTAGGCACGGTAGGAAAAGGGTTCAATTTTCAGTAAAAAAAAAAAATAAAAAAATTCAGTTTCCGAGCCTGTGACAATCTCCTATTGTGCCTAGCAACGAAATGCTGATAGGCTTCGCAAAATTTCGGCTTTCAGGGGCCAACTTTTGCGAAATGGAAAAGAGATTCGATTTTCAGAAAGGAATAAAATTCGTTTCCCCAAACGTGACAACCTCCATCATAACCCTAATATGCCTAGAAAACGAGATGCTCACGTCAGAAATTTTCGGATACTAATATCAGAAAAACGAGATGCTACTATCAGAAATTTTCGAATATTTGCTATGTAAAAAAACGAAGTGCAAATATCGGAACTTTTCAGATAAAACGAACTGTTATTATCAGAAATTTTCGGATATTTGTTGCGTGAAAACGAAATGCAAATATCAGAAATTTTCAGATAAAACGTAATGCTAATATCCGAAGTATTGAAAAAAGCAAAGAAAAAAAAAGATTGCAGAGATTTTGACGAAGCCCTACTTGATTTACTAATCAATCAATCAATCAATAGATCAAGCAATCTGACTACTTGATTGGGCGGATCTTGATGAAAAAGGTCCGCTCCGATACCAAACTGTTGCATACGATAACGGTGCAGACCAGACCAAGAACTGACCTTTCTCGCCAGATACAAGATTGCACTAACCTGGAAGGTGGCGCTGTGCTGCAGGTACCTCGAAGACGAAGCTGGAGCTATGGCGCCACAGGTGAGTATCCCTGGCCTCCACCAACCATCTCTCTCTCTCTCCTACTAGCGCCCAGCGCTGAAGACTACTGCTATCGCTACTACTACTCCAGCGTGCCGCTGCCGAGTCCTGAAGACTACCTCCTGCCCTCTGCGCGTGAAGTGCCTGGGAACTGCCTGCAGCCTACAGGGCGGGTCAGCATTATATAGTGCTGGCCCGTCCAAGAGGCTGCTCGTGCCTATGCCAAAACGGGCCAGACCCTGGGGTTGATGCTCCACAAAATAGGCCTTAAGGGCCTGATCTAAAACCCCGGTCTGGCCCCTGAGTTTCAGGGTAGGTCAATCTTGCGAGGGCCTGAAAATGGCCCGTCGTTTTCAGGCTGGAGGCCGAAACGACACAGGGCCTGAAACAGGCCCTACCCCTACGGACCCTTAGTCTACCAGGTCGGGCTCTGCCGGGCCCGTGTGGTACGGAGTAGTTTAGTTTTGCTTTTATTTCATTTTGTCACCATGATATTTGAGTAATTAAATGACAAACAAGATAGGCCCTACCCCAGTATCAGCTCTGATTCATGCAGCTACTATGCCACAGGCTGTGAGGAAACATTCTGGCCATTCCTACGACTTCTCCTTTACCTTAGCTACCACCCCACTGACATTGACCCCACCATCCAATCCACATAGTATCACCCATGCCACATAATACCACCTATCTCACAATACTGCCAAGTTGACACAGTACGTCCCGCCGCATGTAGTGCCTCATGGCCGACCCCAGGCCCGCTTATCAAGAGCTGATGGGAGTAACATTCAGCCACACTGGTACTTGAAAGGTGCCCAAGGGATATTACACCTCTGCAGCTCAGGCCTAGCAGCCAGCTCAAGTTCCCAACTCGAGAGTAACGTTGAGTAGAAAAAATACAGGGGCCTTACTACCAACTATCCACTAAAACAGGTCTGTCCACGTCATTTCCAACTGTTTGCACGCCGTCCTGTCCTGCAGCTCAGGCTAAGAGGAGAATAAACTCCAAGTAGTGCTTTTTATCTACCCTAGCAGCCAGCTCAAGTTCCCAACTCGAGAGTAACCTTGAGTTGAAAAATACAGCGGCCTTACTACCAACTATCCATTCGACTGAAAAAACAGGTCTGTCCACGTCATTTCCAACTGTTCGCACGCTGCCCACAGGTCTCGTTTTTCACCAGATCCTGAATAAGACAAGACTGGCAGCTACACATGTAAAGAAACAAAAACATAGGCTGGGCCGCCGCCCGGTCGGGCATGCCCGGCTGGGCGGGCCCCGGCTGGTTGGGCCCAGGGGGGTCCGCCCGACAAAACCGGGCGACGCAAAAACACAGCAAGGAATTTTTTTTATTTTTTTTTTGAAGGCGGGGTTGTGCTGCGCTACCCTAGAGGACCACGAATCTGCAATAAAAAAGTTAAGTTGGGGGGGGGG